CTTCTTTTTTCAGGTCACTATAATCTACCCAAAGATAACTAATTGTTCAAAGTAAACATTCCACTCAGACCACAAAAGGAATCCATTACACAAACATATAATTCACAGTCATTTTTAGTGGGTTGTAAACAGTTTGGAATGAGCATAAAATGGGACAAAAATCAAAGTGAGCATTTTGAAATGAAAAAGTGTTTGCTACAAAAGGTCAGTCCCTTTGCTTGGCAAACTATGTAGAAAAGCCTGGGAAAATGCTGATCACACAAGCAGTGAGGGGATTTTAAAGCCAACAACCTCCCTGTTTCTTTAAACAGACATCGGAACCTATAACTGGATCCTGTCAAACAAATGACAGCAAAAAAATATAACAGCTGCTAAGAAGTAAAGTTGAGAGATAAAGTTTTCTGAGCTAAGGACCTTCTCAGAAGTGGACTAAAGGTCCTTCTTAAATCTTTAAGGAAGGTTATGGATCCCAGGGTGGCTTTTAGGCACCAAGTCAAATATGTAATTTTGTATATCATTCCTGTCACAGCATTTTGTGTTCCAGAGGAATTAAAAAAAAAAAAGGGAGAGAAAGGACAAACTTGCTTTTAACATCTGCAGAGTCATTCAGCAAAGCAACCTATACCTGTACTCGTTGAAGTTGACAGTGTTATATCATCTTAGCACTGTTTAAATGATTAGGGACAACTTAACCTAGATACTAGATTGGAGGGGGGAAGGCATTGTAAAACCATATTTCAATAAATGAATGCCAAGCTAAACAGAATTAAATTTCATTGGCCAACTCATACCACTCCATAACAAAGTTAAAATATCCTAAAAGCACAAAAAAACATGTTTAGGGAAGAAGTGTATTCTTCTGTTAGCATATTGCATCACTATAAAAACAACATCTCTTGTTTCTGAACTTTTTTGCATGGTATGCCATTAGTATAAAGTTGTTTTGGGTTTTTTTTGTAAAAGTTAGATCACCTACTTTTAGAGTGAGTTCTTCTAATGTCTCTCACTTCAAGTGCTACCAACTTAGGGGACAAGTAACCTGGGGAATGCCTTGTATAAACCTAGAGCTTAAAAATTATCCTTATGGCCATATCAAAAAACCAGGACCAAAATAATTTTTCTGCCATTTAGAGTTTATCTTTTTTATCCTTGGGATATACAAGCTTCCTTTGCTTCTAAAGCAGGGATGGTTGTGACTCTAGGACTGTGTCGATGTTTGTTCCCTACCCAAATTAGTTAAGAGCAAGCTGTCACCATCTTTGTTAACAAAAACTTATGAACCCTTTTTGCTGTGGCTAAAATAAAATGTACCACAGTTTTAGTGGTGTTCTTCATTTGGCTTATATCAACCTGGTTTTTATCTTGAGGGAGGCAGGCCAAACACATTTTTAAATTAGTATTCTTTTTGTTCCCTCTTGTGCTATTATAGCCCGACACCTACAATCTGTATAAGAGGGAGATATAGACAAACTATACACAAATTTTCAGATGAAGCTACATGTAATCTCTACTCCCCCCTCTCCACTCAACCATCTCCTCAATGTAACCAACACAGATTTCATTCAATGTTTCAATGTTTTTGGCTGTTCTAAACACATGAACACACACACATACTCACACACATGATAGATTTTACAATGACAGAAATAGATTGTGTAGAAATCAGTTGGTAAAAGGGAAAGGCTTTGACTGAAAATTAGGTTAATTTAACAGTCATATAATGAAGTTAGGCATAGAAAAAGCAAAAGAGCAAAGAATCAAAGACAGATCATGTCTTTATAACATAATCTCTTTCTTTTTGGTTTTACCATCCAAGTTTTATGTAAGTTTCCAAAGCCAAGTGGCGAGCAGCTAACATCAGAAGCAGCAGAAAGGGATTGATTTCAAATGATAATAGATGGTAGTGTGCAGAAGAATGTTGTGGGGGCTTAGAGGTAGATGGAACGTAATCATGATAAGAAACACAGCAAACGAGTTATCCGCTAAATTGGTTTACATTCGGCTCACTAAGACATTTCCTTCTAGGCTAAATTAAAAATGTAACTAATACCTTCTAACCAGCAATGAATTTAGAATGCCTCTTGGAGCAAATGATGGATACGATTTCCATATAAAGGTTACAGAAGCATGAACAATTTGCCTCTGTGTAGATCAGGCAGGTAAAACAAAAAATTAAGCTGGTGAGATCTCCCTTCCTGATAATGTTTTATTTTAAATCAAGCATGTAAGTAGAATTTCTTGGTGCAGTTAGAAAATACTGATAACTTTTTTAAGAAGAAAAGATTTTTCAAAAAATTAATATAAAAAGATTTTCCACAACACTCTACTTGCCAGCTGCACTAAGTATTTAGGCCATCTCAGTAAGACTATGAAAGTAAACATACAGTTTTCATTAAATGTGCCTTTCCCATAATTGGTACATAAGTATTTCCCATGACTCTGCAGTGGAGTATTTTGGCTGAAGGAATATCTGGCCATTAGGAGGAGGGTTTCAGATATGCTGAGTCCCAGCCATGCTGAGAGACTTGGCACCTTCCTGTGCTACTTCCTAATACCAACCCTAGTATAAAATGTCATCAGAAGCCTGCATAAACATTGGACTTAGCTTCACATAAATTATTGCTGTCCTGAGATAGTGAGTGCCAGAATTTAGTAAAAAACAACACTTTGAGTAAATAGAGTTGGAGTATAAAAGTAAGAATACTAATCCAAGAAAATTATCATAGGAAAATATAATAAAAACATGCATGCAAATATTGTGATACAAGGTTTATCTTGTGCCCCCTAAGTTTGGTTTTTACTTAACATTTTCATATAGTTCTTTCAACCAGACTGAAATAATGTTCCCTCAATGTATTGATGTATCGAATGTTTTATATTCATGTAGAGACTTAAAATTTACTTTCGCAGCCATTATTTTAAACCATGTCTTCAGAACTGATTTGGATTTATAAATTAATTTTAATATTGCACACAGATAATAAAATAAAATCCCTTACATGTTGTCCAACCATAAAGGCCATGTTCCTAAGACTTAGTTCTTACCTACCATCTTCTCCCTCCAAAATACAAAACTATGGCTGCGTATAGAAATGACTATTTGCTTTCATGAACAGGATGTGAACATTCATGTAGATAGATGGATACAATTGTAATACTTAGAAGTGAATCCAATTCAATTCAACAAGTGTTTGAAAGTACTTACTGTAATGTACCAGGCATTGGGCATACAAAGACAGAACCCAAAAAAAGATCACCTCAAGTAACTTACATTCTCCTGGGGTAATATAACATGCACACAAGTGAAAACAATGCATATGTGAAGTGATACAAAATGATCTTAAGAGGGAGAGAGCTGGAAAGGCCTAATGTAGGAGATGACACACGAGCTTGGCCTTGAAGGAAGCTAAGGATACTGCAAGATATCATATAGATATGTATTAATGTAAATGATTTAAGGATTCTCTGAAACTCCTATTTGGATTTTGGACTCAGGACAATATTATACAGACAGTGAATTTTGGAAAATGAAGATAATTAGGATTCTGATTTGGGGGCCACTTTAATGGTTCTGTTGACCAGTTTACCTATTAAGTAAGGAATCGGTCTCTGTTTCATTAGCTGCTTTTGGCTATCAATATTAAATACTACATATTCCTAAATATAATCTATTATATATAATATGTAAAAGTATCACAAAATTTAGTAAATCATACCTTTCCTTCTAAGTTCTAAGTAACTTTATTCCTCATTGCTTTACTCATGTTCGTCTTTCATTCGCTTTTTTTCTATCTGCTTTTCCTGATCTCTGCTCTTGTCTCTGATGTGTTGATTTTCTCTTCCCTAAAGCTACTCTTTCTCCTTTTTCCTACCTATTACTCCCCTTTTTGTTATTCTCTCATTCCCTACTGATCTGGGAACAGCAGAATCCCAAGGTGGTCCTTACTATATAATTAAAGTGTGAATTTCCAGGAGTTGGAAATTGCAGGCCATTTTTATTATGCTTCTATAATAAAGCCAGGTAACATCAAGAGAATTAAAATGGCTCTTTTCTTGGAAGATAACTTGTTAAAGATTTCCCTCCTTGATTCTATTGTTTTGAGACTGGAAGCTGAAAATGGGAATAGGTTCACCAATCCTTTTTTTCTGAAAACACCTCAATCTTTTACATGATATATATTCCCCTAGATCCTGGGAATATGTTGTAAACTTGTAACAGATGGTGATGAAGCTTCATATTTTTATACAATACATTTTTTAAGATTCTGCGTCTAGTGTATGTATCTCTCAGTTAAAATGACCTTCGATGAGTGGAGTCATAGTAGGAAAAAAAAACATACATATATAACTGAACAAACCACAGATATACTAGAACAGAAATATTTAAGTCAATTAGATTTTATTTTGCTCTTTCTTCAATGAGATGCAATGATTTCAGGTGACAAACAGAATTTTGGACAAGAGAATCAAAGGTCATCACAACACTGAAGGTACAACTATTAATCTTTCTAGGAAGATAGTTAGCCATGCACTAAATGGCAAAGAAACATGTGCAAGAGAGAATCTCACTGTTTGCAAGTTTGGGTGGTATTTGCTTTAGTTGGGTAATGTTGGGGACTTACCAAAAAATGTCCTGGCACAATATCTACCAGGGATCTTAGCATGAATATTATGAGGGTTCTAGTACTATGATTGCTGACATTTTATGAATGTTTTAGCATTGGCTTGAAAACAAGAAGTTTGCAATTGATTCAACAGTATGTCAAACAGACAAAATATTAAAAAAATGAGCATTAGCGAGAATTACTAATGTCCCTATTGTAAAAACAAACTAAACCCAATATGAAACTTCATCCAGTAAAAAAAAAAGACGCACAAAAAGTTGAATTTTAATTGCATGACTTCCCAGGCAAATCAAGTAGATCTGTTAACTTAGAGCATCAGTTGTAAAGGCGGCTGCAATAACGGGGGTGAAAACTACTACATATTCAGTTACTCACCTCTTTTTTCAACTGCCTCAATGCATTGCTTTACAAATTGAGGTACTGTGGAATTTTCACGTTCACACACCTTGTACAGATGAGAGCCAAAAATTTGATCTATGAAAGAAACAAAGATGAGCTTCAGTAAAATCTATTCCCGCGTTCTATAATTTGATTCTACTTCCATATCTATATCCCTATGGAATCTCCATTTTGTGCCTAAGTTGTTTTTATTTATTTAATTCAGCACTGCCTATTGTAGTCAAATAAAGACCAGAACTCATTCATGTAATCTGGAACATAAGAAAATTAGAACAAATGACTTTTGAAGTTCCTTTCAGTTCTAACATTTCTGAACAGTAGATAGAACCTTAACTCAAGAGCCAGGAAATGAAAATTCAGTTAAAAATTATGTGAGGCTGATAAGAAAAATTACATTTGATCTGGGCTTTAATGCTGCCATTTATAAATTGATACAACAAATCTCAATAAGATTCTCCTTAGGTAACCACACACACACACACACATACACACATACACACACACACACACACACACACACTTTGAGGACAGGAACTTTTTTTTTTAAACGTGTTTACCACCAATAACATTTTACTACCTTCCCTAAACAAGGTACTTAATATATATCAAAATATCAACTGTTAGTATTTTAAATGTGAACTCTTTCTAATGACCAAAAAAATGGTATGCTATTGGGAAAATTAAATCACATTATTATTCTCACAATAGTTATACCAAAAGGCAAAAGAAAATGGGAACTAATCAGAATTACATCTCAAAGATTCTTCTTGGAGAGACTAAGGAGATTGCTGAGTTGTTTCTTTTTCTTACTCAGAAGCAACAAGCAACATCTTTTAATCTCTTGCAGTTCTCTTGATGAGCATGAGCAAAAAGACCACCATGAAAATAATTGAAGCTTATTCACTAAAATGTTTTAGAAGATTAAGAAGAAGTGAGAGTTTCAGGAGGATGAAATGATCCAAACCAATTGAACATATGCTTTGATGCCTGGTGATTTAATTTCAAGGAGGGTGTAGGCAATAATATAAAAAGATCTATTTGAAAATGTGGCTCACGTTTCAAATACAATAGTAGTCAAGGGCTTTAAACTCAGAAAATTCATATGTGTGTGTGTGTATATATATATATATATATATACATATATATATATATATATATACATATATATGTGTGTGTGTGTGTGTGTGTGTATGTGTGTATACATATATACACATACACACACACACATACATATATATGTATATGTATAAAGAATACTTTCATAAAAACTGACCAACATCATGAAAAAAGGGAATTGGGTATATTTTACATTTAGAAAATGTCTAGCTCCTGATATGTCAGTACTACCAGAATCCTCTGCCTGTGGCCATTCAACCCACAGTCTAGTTGGAGAAAAGGTTAATATCAGCATGAAAGTAGAAGAATATAGATGAAAAGACCCTGGGAAGTGGATTGTTCTAACTTCAACTCTACCTCTTCAAAACAATCAGCAATTCTGAAAAGCAGGAAATGGAAAAAGGTGAAGATATTTATTTTGATTATTGCCTTTTTCTTTGAAAGCTTAAGTGATGAAATACCCTTATGATAATGTTAAAACTGTTAAATACTTGGGCATTGACTTGTCTGGACACATAAGAAACCTTTGTGTGCTTTTTAAAAAATCATTTTATCAAAAGAGAATACATGTTTACTCTTGTTATTCCTCTCATTAATCCAAGAGAGATAGTCTAGCAGAGTAGATAGAGGGCCATCCGGTAGAATGTAAGATCTTTATGGACAGGAACTGCTTTGTAACCTCAGCAACTTGCACAGAGTAGTCACTTGATAAATTTTTATTTAATTAAATTGAATTTTTTTTAAATGGCAGAAGTATTAATTATAGCATCCATAATATTTTAAATCTATGTAATTAGCATGTTTCAAATAATTTGTAGTTTTGATTTCTGTGCTATAATTTGAGGATATTTGAAACAAAGAAGCATCATTCCACAGAACAGACTTTGGAGTCAGAGGTCCTAGGTTCAAATCTCACCTCTGATGCTTATTGCCTTTATGACCTTGAACAAATCACTTAATGCCCCTGGGCCACAGTTTCCTTATTGGTAAAATGAGGGTTTTAACTGGATGGCCCCACAAACCCCCCTATGGCTCTAGATGTCTGATTCAATATGCCTGAGAAAGAATTCTAATGGATTGACTTCATAGCAAATTAGTTGGTTTCCTCTACCTGCTCTTCCCCCCTCTTTTAGCCCTATCTCTTCTTCAATGCACAGTTTAAGGTCAACTTCCTCCAAAATGATTTTTTTCTGCTGTGCTAATCCACAGAATCTCTTTTCTCTGAACTTCTGTAGCTTTTTAAAAAAAAAAACTATTCCTTCAGAATTTCACATGGAACATTGCCTATATTGACTGAAGTGTTTAAGTTTTTGCAAGATTCCAAGCTAGGCAATGGGGCAGGAGAAGCTACCAAGATACATAAATCATGGTCCCTGACAAGCACTGTGGATACATAGTTATATAAAGTAAGGCCTCTAGTCCTTAAATAGCTTACAATTTATTTGGTGTGATAGGCCTGTATCTATATCTATATTTATCAATCTATATTTTAGCATGTGATACTCTAAAGGTCTTCCAGAGGTCTAGAAGTAGTAGCACAATGTGGAGCAAAGAAGGCGCATTAGGAATTATCCCCCTCATCCTGCTTCTCCATTCTTTTAGCGCTTCACCTAAAGGAGCAAGCCTAGATTCCCAGAGATCTGAATATCCATCTAATCTCCTAAAAGCATTTATTTAGAAAACATGTCTTCCTAGGGGTGTGAAGATTTTGGAATCCCTTACAAATTAGCATGGCTTTGGCTACTACCATTATTATATCTTCATTCTATCATTTCAGCACTCTTACCAAGGATGGCAGGCAACACATCGGTTGGAAAAAATCCATTTTCTGCAATTTTTCTTTGAAAGAATCTTTTGGTGACAAAAAAAAATAGGCCTTCCACATGACTACACTTATGAATCATGTTGTTTACATAATGAATTAGAACTTAACTAGGAATGCTGGTTTCTAATCTTTATGCTTTAAAACTTTCAAACTATTTAGGTTGCTCATCTTTAAACATATCAGAATAACCAGGTTAAATCTCTCAGATTACAAATTGGCTTCATTTTCCCTCACCTCTGCTACGTATTTTTTATAAATGATAAAAAGAGCACTCAGTAATGGAAACTTTGTCAGTTAGATTTCAATGAATCAAACCCATGAGGAAAACCACTCAATAGAGGCAGTTAAATGTTCAAATAATGTGACTATGTTATCATCATTTACCCAGAGAGACAGTCTCCACATGCTTTTCCAAATGATACTCTTCTGAATTCATAGAGGGCTTTTGTAGCTAATTAATAGATATTAGTACTAGCACTAGTACTATTACCACTACTGCTGCTGCTTCTCCTCCTATATTAAGAAATCTTAGGATAATATAGAATTGGAGAACCTGATGCAGTGGAAAAAGTATTGCCCTTGGTGTCAGAGGACTTGAGTTCAAATCCCAACTCTGCTACTTACTACCTGTGTGACCTGAACTCAATTTCCTCATCTGTGAAATCAGGAGGTTAGATTAAATAGCCTTTAAGGTCCTTTCCACCTCTAAATCTAAGATCCTACAACTCTAAGACAATTCAAATCTCCTCTTATTGACATAACTTGCCAGTGCCCATCTACCTTCTGATATATTGATCCTCTAACCCTGGTCATCCAGTTTTAGCTCCTTTGGTGCAAGAGTTATACACATATGATCTCCTTGACCCTCATGCCAATTCTAAGTATCCCTACTCCTCATCATTCCTGCTCAGAACTCTTCAGTCTCTTCATCCACTATTAAGACCAATATTCTGTGCTCTATGAAACTCCCACTCTGGCATTAAAAAAAAAACAAATAACCCTACCTATATCCTTAAACTTTTCAGGGAATATTTATTCTACATCTTTGTTTTAATAGCAATCTGATTCCCCTCAGAAATGATGGCATCCCTTGCCAAATTCTCAGAGGTCTATAGTCATTTCTACTTCCCCAACTCACAGGGTCAGGATAGTAGGTGAGTTATATTCTTGGATTGTCTCTGTTGTTTCCAGACCATTCATTTGCTACTAATGATCTCTCAATGATAATCTCTTTTTTAAAGGGTCTATATAATGAATTCAATTGTCCCTTGTCCCTTTTTCTAATGATTTCCACATTATTTTTCTAAACATTTGGGCTTTTCCCTCAACAATTAATTGCTAGATTGAACTACCTAATGTCATTCTCTAAGGTTATCTCCTCTTTATCAAACCCAGTGAATTTTCAGTCCTCATTTTCCATGACTACCCTGCCACTTTGGACACTCTTAACACTTCCTATTGGATACACTCTTTCCCCTTATCTTCAGAAATGTAATATTCTTATAGATTCTTTTCCTCCCTTGCAAACAACTTCTTTCCTGCTTCCTTTTCTGATTCTCCACCCTCTTCCTGATCCTTACTGTCAATGTTGCCCAAAATTCTCTCTGTTCTTCTTTTTTATATCTCTGTTTTCTTCTTTGGCAATTAAATACCACTACCACTACTACTACTTTAGCATTTATGTGTTAGTACTTTTAGGTTTGCAAAGCTCTTTACAAATATTATTTCATTTTTATCCTCACAATAACCTTGGGAGGTAGGTGCTATTAATATTCCTTTTTTCAGATGAGGAAACAGGTAGAAATTAATAGACATTCCCAGGATCACATAGCTAAAAAGTGCCTAGGACTGTATTTGAATTCAAGTCTTTCTGACTCCATGTCCAGTACTTTATCATCTGTACCATATAGCAATCTCTGGAATCACAAATACTAAAATTAGAAGGCACCTCCAAGGCCTTCTAGTCCTACTCCTCTAGAAAATCTCTGAGTGGTCAATAATTCTTTGATAAAAAGTTTCTATTTGGTAGAGAACCCTCTACCTTGTAAGACATTTTAAATAGCTACAACTGTTAGTCAATTTTTCCTTAAAACAAACCTAAATCTGCCTCTCAGTGACTTCCATTGACTGGTCC